ATTTCAGATATGCTAATATACAGTGCATCACTTAAAGTAGAAGTTTTCTTGTTTCTTAGATTTATGTAGAGTGGTGAATGGCCGTTATTGATGTCTGGTGTTCTCACTGGGGAAACTTACCGTAACTTTCTGCCTGTTTTGAAAACTAGTACCAGAGAGCAAATTAAACAGGTCTCTACTAGATCACAACCATATTTGAGAAACCTCCATCTTTAACCCTGAGATAGCAGGCCCATCAAGTCTTTGGGTGATGCTAACAGACTCCTTTCACATGGGTGGTCTGATCAGATCCAACTTTCAGTAGTTTAGGCCGATCTGAACGGAAGCTGCATGTTAGTCTATGGGAAAGAGGATATTCATCTGATCTGGGTCTGTCCTTATTCATTTTTTTTCAGACATAAAAGTGACGGATTGGAGGTTGTCAGGTGTAAATGATGCATGTTTGTGTTGCTATGGATATTTTAGTGAGTTTTATAACACAATTATAAATAGGCTTCCCCTGTTCATATGCTAATGAACGTGTTGGACTGGTTCATGTGCTCAGGACAGGAAGTGATGCCACAGGAAGTAGGGAGAGGGGGAAAGAGGACTTTAGCAACCATGTGGTGAAGGCAAAGGAAAGGAAACTAGTAGTTCTGGAGGACTCTGAGAAGGAAGGAGCAGTATGAAGACTCCATCACCAGAAAAACCCAAGTAGCTGTTTAGTATACTTCTTGCATACATTGAAAGATTGCAGGAAAGCACCATAATGTGACTGCTCATACCTTGTCTGTGCTCACTGTCTCCCGGAGTCACCACTGGAGCTCCCTAAAATTCCTGTAAAGTTTAAACTATCTTAACACTTGCCAAGGCTAAGCTAGCTCCTCCACCCTGCCCATGTGACAGCATTCAGAATTGGTGATTGGCTTGTCAGCAATGCAGTGCTGAATTCTGGGAGGTGTGGTAAACAGCATTTCTGTGTACCATACCCATAAATATAAGGGATCTTGACTGGCTGAAGTAGCATATGGGGCACCTTATTGCACCTAATTATACTCAGAAGTGCTACTTTTTATTTAAGCAAGCTCACTGCCATGTCTGCATTTCCAGACTTGCAACATATTCATTGGAAGTCATCAGAAGTGTGCTGTGTCTACACATTATGCATACGTCAAAGACAATTTAGACTTCTCCACTGTTATGTACATTTGACAGCCATAACTGATAAAAGCTGAGCCCTGAGCAGACATATCTAGGACTCACACAAAAAAACAACTCACAGACATCCAGTCTTCACCACACAAACCTGGACAGAATAGACATGAAATGAAAATAGTCGTCTGACAGAATTCATAAGCAGCAAGACTGGTGTTCGGCAGCTAAACTTCTCTGACCAGCATTTATATCTAAAAAGCCTACAACCCATTATAAATGGTCTTGAGTAGGGTCACATTAACCCTGTGTGTACAAGTTTCATCAGCAGGTTGATCAAATGCTTTTTGACTTCATGGCCTACATGGTCATAAGTCTTTTTTTAACTTTGTTATGTTCCTATGTATGGAGAAGAAGCTCATGTGCTATGACAAAATGCATGTTATCAATGCTTTTAAAGGTAGGGAGGGCACATACATAAACACTTTAAAGGCGTTGGACAGTTCTACAAGTTAGTCTCTCTGTTATTAGAATGAAAAAGTAAGTAAATAATAGTTGATCAAAGCAGACCTAAAGTGTAATCATAACTCCCTTCCTCCCCACCCTACTTTATAACCTGCTGCCTTAAAATTAATTTGGTTATGTGATCACTGCTGGAGAGAAGATGTAGCGTACTAAGTGACTGATCCTCCCCTCCAGTAGAGGTCATTTGACCACTTCGGTTTGATGACAATACATCATCAAGGAGTGTTTTGGGGTCCTATTAAAACAATGATTTTAAAATATGTATTCAGCACAAACTGAAACCACCTCTCGGATGTTAACACAGGCTTTTCCAGTGTCTGTATATGTCTTTGCTTCTAGAACATCCCAGATGCTTGCTTTAGCATATCAACCTAAACTAAGTATTTGGAGCTTTGCAAGGTCAGACAAACTACTCATTTCATTGTCAGAATCTGCATAGCAGAGTGCCCTGGATCTTTGACCTGATGGGCAGCACAGTTGCTTAGTGGCTAGCACTATTGTCTTGCAGTGCTAGGTTCCTCATATCTGCATGGAGTGTTTGTATGTTCTCCCTGTGCTTGTGTGGGTTTCCTCTGGGTACTCTAGTTTCCTCCCACAATCCAAAGACATGCTGGTAGGTTAATTGGCTTTTGTCTAAATTGGGCCTAGTATGAGTATGTATGCATGTGAGATAGGAACCTTAGATTGTAAACTCCTTGAGTACAGGGGCCAATGTAAATGTGCAATATATATGTCAAAGCTCTGCGTAAATTATAGGCACCAAATAAATACCTGTCTGGGGTCACTCTACAATAACTAAATATATGTGTAGGCACCTACAAATATCTGCTTTACCACCCCAGAGTGTCAATACTAAGCTTGTAATGACAAAGGTACACTTTAAAGTGTTACTAAACCCATGACCCTGCATTCACTATATCTGGTCTCCCACAGTACACAGAACATAGAAATGTAATTATTTTAGTAAATATAAACTGCTAAATACCTTTTCACACCAGCAGTTAGAGCAGTCTTCTAACTTCTATCACTGTCCAGCACAGCACTGGTTAAAGCTTGTAGGAGGAGTTTTCATTCTGCTCTGCTTGTCCTATGAGGCTGCAGGACCTCTGACCCTCTGTCTGGTTAGCGCTGATTGGCCCTGTGCTGATCGGCAGTTAGAGCAGTCTTGTGACTTCTATCAGTGTCCAGCCCAGCACTAGCTAAAGCTTGTAGGAAAAGTTTTCTTTCTGCTCTAGGAGGATGGAAATCCCCTGACCTCTGTCTGGACAGTGCTGATTGGCCCTGTGCTGATCACATGCACTCTCCCAAGAAAAAAAAAACCCTCTCTGGCAATATACATCAAACTGTGCATGCCTAAGGTTCAGTCTGGAGATAAGAGGTGGTCACTTGAAAAAGGGGAGGTGCAGAGGAGGATCAAACAACCTTTTTACACAATGCAGAGGATTAACCCCTTAGGTTCCACAGTGAGTATAACAAGCATGCTTTACTGCATATACAGACTGATTTTACTGTTGTGAGTTTAATAACACTTTAAAGCCGAACACCAAAAAAAAGTGTTTCCATGCAGTGGGGCAGTGCCTGAACTACACAGGTTAACTGCTTGTTGTGTCTAGGGGAAACCAGAAAGTTTATACTTGCCTGATCCTCTGATTTAGTGGTGCTCCCCCACAATCCAGCAGTGGAATGTTCCTGAGTCCTCATGTCTGGAGCAGGTCCATGGGCTTGATGATGTCAGGAAGAGTGCACCACACAAGATTGTTAGACCATAGAGGGGCAGAAGCCGCAGGGAGTGGTCTTTTGTTGGGAGGATCGGAGGATTAGATAAGTATATCTCCTTTCTCCAATCCTCTAGACATAAATGAGCAGTTAACCCTTGCAGTGCAAGTGGCAGGGCGGACAGTATGTTGGGGAGCGGATTATACTATACTTTAGGCCCAGTTTAAACAATTTCAGTATCTCATTCTAATCTAATTTTAATCTAAAAATAATGTCCTGTTTTTTTAATTATTCCATAGTTTTCCTTTTAAAAGTATGCTGCTCTTATGAATGAAGGCAAAATGTTTTTGCAGTTCATAAACTGAACCATGTTTATTGTTAAACAAACTGCTGATTTACATGTTTCTCCTAGGTTCAATGGAGTGCACATTTCCTGTCTGATTATGAATATACATGACACAGCAACTATCAATGGGCAGAGAGGAGCTTGGGGAAGTCAGCAAATAAGTACTGTACAATGCTTTAACATGAGACGGCATTAGTGAGATGAAATCCCAGCAAAACGTAATAGCTACAAATGTGAAATATGTGAAATGTGATGTTTCCACATACGATTATAGACTGACTGTGGATGCACACATGTGCGGTGCGGATTGAAGCTCAGGTTTCACAGCTAATAGACACAGTAAATGTTCAGAGGTTCAGGTCAGGTTTAGATCAGGATTTTATCCTGTTCACAAATGATGACATGTGCAGCTTAGAAACGGTTCCCATAGAAGTCAATAGCCTGTAATCCACACCTGAATCGGACCGCATTGCTCAGAAATCAGACAAGATTCTTTTTAATCCGCACTGCCAGTGCACCGGACATATGTGAACAGGCACTACAGGAAGCAATGTATTTCACATGGTTCAAACCGCATCCAATCCACATATATGTGAACCGGCACTTAAGAAGGTCAACGGCACACAGTTAAAAAAAAGACACATCTTTCCCGATGCCACTGCTGCACAAAGACATATTGATGTGTATGTCTACGGCCTTCAGATTCTCATATTTTAATCATTTATAGGTGACAGGTAACTTCAGACGCCAATGAGATTATTGATTGACACTGCGTCACTTTCGGCTCTTGGAAGCACATTATGATTTTAATTTGAAGTCAGTCACGCCATTGAAAATCACAATAGATTTTGTTTTTGCTGTGCTAACAGATAACCAGAGGTCCCCTAAAATATTTCAGGGAAATAGTCCTCTAATTTGTACAGAGTGCTGGACTGGGATGGGTACCCTACTCTTCAGAACACTCCAAGATGGACTGCTTACACAAGGAGCACCCACAGAACACTAGGAACAGGAATAGGTATCTATTTCAGCAAGAGTATTCTTCAGATCTGTAATGTCTATGACAAAGTTATTAATTTTTTAAACCAAATATTTCAGAATATAAATCAATGCTGAAGAGGAAATTTACAAGATAAGAAATTATTTACAGACAGGCAAATATACCATGTATAGGTGGGTGGACCGAACAAGATAGAGGAAGAATGTCAAACATAGATACGTAAAGTCTATTAACCATATAGTGTACATACATAACCGGACAGATCTAATTCTCAGCACTTACCAGAAAGCTTACAAAGCTAGCGCCAAAGCTCATCAATGGGCTGTGATTCCTACAAAACACAAACACATTGCTGGTGTTAATATATACTGAACATCTATGAGACATATGAAGACATATATATATATATATATATATATATATATATATATTGCTGGGAATGGTTATAAAAAAACATGAGATGAAGACCTATATACATTTTGTGGGCACAGCACCACCACCCCTGAAGGAAGGCTAAACTACACACTGCCTACATGTTTACGACTATGTATGCGACTAGTTTCTTCATACAGTAGCGTCTAAAGGCTGTCATTACCAAGAAAGGATTTTGTATGAAGTGTTAAATAAATTTCAGTTCACATGTTCAATACTTTTTTCCCTGTGTCATTCTATTTTATTACACAGAACTTAATTTCTGAACATATTATTTGTTTTGGTTTCTTTGTATACATGTTTTACATGGGTTGTTACTGACATGTGGTGAAAATTTCATGTCAGCAGCACCTTTAGAATATTTGTAAATGAGAAAAATGATGACATGCTCAATACTTATTTTACCCGCTGTATATATACAGTACACACACACACTGTATATATTGCGTATATACGCTGCTCAAAAAAAAAAAAAAAAAAGAGTATGGCATCAAATCAAGTAAACTCCTGGGATATAGATCTGGTCAGTTAAGTAGCAGAAATGGTTGTTAATCAGTTTCAGCTGCTTTGGTGTTAATGAAATTAACAACAGGTGCTCTAGATGGGTAACAATGAGATGACCCCCCAAAACAAGAATGGTTTTACAGGTGGAAGCCACTGACATTTTTTTCCCTACTCATCTTTTCTGTTTTCCCTAGTTTTGCATTTGGCTAGGGTCAGTGTCACTACTGGTAGCATGAGGCAATACCTGGACCCTACCTAGGCTGCACAGGCAGTCCAACTCCTCCAGGATGGCACATCAATATGTGTCATTGCCAGAACCAGACCCTACACTGGCGCAGTGGGTCCTGGGTTCCTCCTGGTGCATGACAATGCTGGCATCATGTGACGAGAGAATGCAGGCAGTTCCTGGAGGATGAAGGAATTGATACCATTGAATGGCCCCCATGCTTGCCTGACCTAAATCCAATAGAACACCTCTGGGATATCATGTCTCAGTCCATCCGACGCTGCCAGGTTAAACCTCAAACTGTTCAGGAGGAGCTCAGTGATGCCCTGGTCTGGATCTGGGAGGAAATACCCCAGGACACAATCCATCTCATTAGGAGCATGCCCCGACATTGTCAGGCATGCATACAAGCACGTGGGGGTCATACAAACTACTGAGTACCATTTTAAGTTGCTGCAATGAAATTTCAGCAAAATGGACTAGCCTGATGCATCATTTTTCACTTTGATTTTAAGGATGTCTTTGAATTCATTCCTCTGTAGGTTGATAATTTTCATTTCCATCACAGTACCCAGTCCATATCAGTATAGATATCCAACATGATAATTTCCCCATTTAGATCTGATGTGTTTTCAAAGTGTTCCTTCCATTTTGTTTGAGCAGTGTGTATATATATATATATATATATATATATATATTACACATACACACACGCTATATTTACAAATGTATTGGGATGCCTGCCTTTACAGGCACATGAATGGCATCCCAGTGTTAATCTGTAGGGTTCAATACTGGGTTGGCCCAACCTTTTTGCAGCTATAACAGCTTCAACTCTTCTGGGAAGGCTGTCCACAAGATTTAGGAGTGTTTCTATGGGAATGTTTGACCATTCTTCCAGAAGCGCATTTGTGAGGTCAGGCACTAATGATGGACAAGAAGGCCTGGCTCGCAGTCTCCGCTCTAATTCATCCCTAAGGAGTTCTATCAGGTTGAGGTTAGGACTGTGTGCAGGCCAGTCAAGTTCCCCCACCCCAAACTCACTCATCCATGTCTTTATGGACCTTGCTTTGTGCACTGGAGCGCAGTCATGTTGGAACAGGAATGGGCCATCCCCAAACTGTTCCCACAAAGTTGGGAACGTGAAATTGTCTAAAATGTCTTGGTATGCTGACGTCTTAAGAGTTCCCTTCACTGGTAACTAAGATACCAAGTTCAACCCCTGAAAAACAACCCCACACCATAATCCCCCCTCCACCAAACTACACTTGGCACTATACAGTCAGGCAAGTACCGATCTCCTGGCAGCTGCCAAACCCAGACACGTCCATCGGATAGCCAGACAGAGAAGCGTGATTCATCATTATAGAGAACACCATGGAAACCCATTCCATGAAGCTCTCTACTCACTGTTGTTGTGCTACTCTGAAGGCCACATGAAGTTTGGAGGTCTTTAGCTATTGACTCTGCAGACAGTTGGCGACTTCTGCGCACTGTGCGCTTCAGCATGCGCTGACCCCGCTCTGCCATTTTACGTGGCCTACCACTTCATGGCTGAGTTGCTGTTGTTCCCAGTTGCTTCCACTTTGTTATAATACCACTAACAGTTGACCGTGGAATATTTAGTAGCAAGGAAATTTCACGGATGGACTTATTGCACAGTTGGCAACCTATCATGGTACCACGCTTGACTTCACTGAGCTCCTGAGAGCGACCCATTCTTTCACAAATGTTTGTAGAAGCAGTCTGCATGCCTAGGTGCTTGATTTCAGACAGCTGTGGCCATGGAGGTGACTGAACCCCCTGAATCTAATGATATGGAGGGCTGTCCCAATACTTTTGACAATATACTGTGTGTATATATATATGTATACAGTATATATATATATATTCCCATAAATTTAACTTCAGCCCAGCCAGTGAAGACATTTTTCAGCCTTCTGTCTATCCAGACTGTGTAGTCCCTGAGCCTGTCTCCACACAGATTTACCACATTATCTTGCTCAGCCTTGAGGCCATACACGGTTAGAAAATCAATCGGAAGTGTTCGATATGCTTGATCGTTTATTTTTCAAAATATTAGTAGGCTAATTTTGATTGCTGAAAAATCTACGGTGCATGCGCATGTTAATATGTAACATCCCTAAGTGTAATTGATCGACAAATGTACCATTTATGTTGTTATCAAACAATAATATGTCAATAGATGGGGAACAAATATTGATACAATGATGGCATTATTTTGTGCACATTCGACAGATCGTTAGAAACCTGATCATTTTTTTTTAACGATTATCTGACCGTGTATGGCCAGCACGGTTTGGGGCTGCATAGGCTCATGCCTAATTACACACTATCTTTTAATACTTCACTCAGGTAACACTCTGGTCAGATCTCTGCTCCTTAAGGCCAGAATAGACACTTGGAGACACTCAGCTTGTCTCCCAGAAAAGAGCCCTGAACCATAGACAACACCTTGCCTAAAAGAGCTCATCACATCTGCACTGTCATGATGGTGGTTTTCAGTTAAATATAGATCCAGTGCTAGAAGATTTACTTTCCCCTTAAGTCTCAAAGCCTCTGGGCAGGAGTTACCGGTCCCAGAGAAAACAGCAAAACCAGTTTTCTCTAATTAGAGCAGACATGCTGGAGCCCCTTACCTGCAAAAGAGAAGCCTGGGTGACATCTAACATTGACACTATGCAATGTGCAATGCTGTCTATATACAATATATATATATATATATATATATATATAATATAAATATACACCCTGTTCCAAATTATTATGCAAATTATATTTTTTCTCATTTACCTAAATAATTGATGTAAATAACAGTCAGCATAATTCTCATGTTACCAACTATTAAGAGTATAGTGCCAAGTGTAGTTTGGTGGAGGGGGGATTATGGTGTGGGGTTGTTTTTTCAGGGGTTGAACTTGGTACCTTAGTTACCAGTGAAGGGAACTCTTAAGACATCAGCATACCAAGACATTTTAGACAATTTCACGCTCCCAACTTTGTGGGAACAGTTTGGGGATGGCCCCTTCCTGTTCTAACATGACTGCGCACCAGTGCACAAAGCAAGGTCCATAAAGACATGGATGAGCGAGTTTGGGGTGGAGGAACTTGACTGGCCTGAACAGAGTCCTGACTTCAACTCAAAAGAACTCAAAAGAATAGATGGATCGAATCTCAGCCAGTTTAGCAGGGACCCGGCTGCAAAAGGGTGAAATTTGATCCATCTATGGGCTTAGGTTCATGGCCTTGTACTGAAGTCGATCCATCAATCGACTTCAGTACAACCAGCCTGTTGGATTTTTTGCAGGCAATCACTGCTGATGGGCCATAGCCATAGCCGCTAGCAGTGATCATTGTGTTCTGCTAGTAGGGAAGGCTTCCTTTTGACAAAACACAATAGTGCTGTGGGAGAGATTATGTGACCGTGGTGAAAGGAAAGAAAACTGCACAGTCTATGACTTGCCTTATGACCTCTATCCCAAAAATAACATAGGCAGCAAGCAGCAGTAGTGGCTAAGTTGGTAAAACACCAGCAATGGTGTGCGACTTTCTTAATCCCCCGCATCTATTCACTAGTATAGCAAAGTACCGTATTTTTTCGCTTCATAAGATGCACATATTTTCCCCCAAAAAATGGAGGGAAATGTCTGTGTGTCTTATGGTGCAAATATTGACGAGACCCCCCCCCCCCCCCCCCCCCCCCCCCATTGCCGCCACAGTGTTAGAATACCAGACCGGCCAGCAGGAAGCGGGCGGGGCCAGGTCCGGAAGCTCAACTGACCCCGCCCCATGCCTGTATACTTGAGAGGGAGCTGCTGTAGTAGAAGTTGTGATGTGAGTGGGAGCCCCGCCCCCCCCCGGACCTCAGAGAGGATGCTGAGCACGGCTGGCCAGGTATGTCCTTCCCTCCATAGACTGCCTGTGGACTGTTATACCAAGCCCTGAGCAGTTTTTTACAAACTGTACATCTGTGCATTGCTGAAAGAACTCTGTTCATCCTCTGTAATATGTCCACAGTCTCTGGTCATCTCCTGTACTATATGCCTGCAATCTCTGGTCATCTCCTGTACTGTGTCCGCAGTCTCTGGTCATCTCCTGTACTATGTCCGCAGTCTCCCATCTCGGTCATCTCCTGTACTATGTCCGCAGT